GTGTCTCTCTCATATATATATATATCATACTTACGTAGTTGTTTTAAGATGTAAAGAACCAGCCGAACGACTGGACAAATGAAGGAGCATATGTATGTATGAAGAGCATGCTACGCTAGCTCACCCGCTCCCAACCCAAAGCCCTAGAGAAATCTCTAAAGACTCTAAACACCACCAAACATAGTGCATGTATGTATGTATGTTCGTTTGCTTGCTTGCATGCTTGTATGCTTGCTTGTAGTTGCATGTGTGCGTATATGCATACTTAGATACGATCCGATGTGTACACCACCGTACTGGACCCTCGCCTGCTTGTCGAGTGCGAGTGCTAAAAATGCCGTATGCGTATATCCTATCTAGAATTGTATCTGTATGTGCATGTCCGTCCGTCCTTAAGTCTGTTTGTCTCTATGTAGGTAGGTAGGTAGGTAGGTAGGTAGGTAGGTAGGTAGGTAGGAAGGAAGGAAGGAAGGTAGGTAGGTAGGTAGGTAGGTAGGTAGGTAGGTATGGCTGTATGTCTGAGTATCTGTATGTGTGCATCTGTCAGTGTGTTTGTGAATGTGTGTGTAGCATTCTTGTATACAAAAGTACATTCGCACATGTATGCACATTCACGCCGTCTCTAAGTGCGCTTGTCTTGCTACATATATGTCAAAATTTCAAAGTATGATGTTGCCAGTGTTGACAGAAGATGAGGCCACATTGCGTATTGCATGCACGATTGTCTTACCGCCGTCAAGACACACACGCACACATTTCCATGCACGCAGATGCTTACCTCACAAGCGCGGCAAACATGCTTACATGCACACAGGTTTGTTGTCAACTGTTTCGCAAAACTACAACACCACATGTGCCAGGTTCAGGATGCTGCACGCCGCGCGGCCCAGGTCTTGAAGAAGCCCTTACCTCCTGGTAAGCAGGCGCAGTTGTGAGAATAGGTCAAGGAGCCTTGCTGTCAACATTGCTTAGACTCTTGGGCAGTCGGTTGCGGAAACTGCTGCAAGACAGAACATCCGCAGCCTCCAGACTTACAGCGCCTGCAGTTTTGCATAGAGTAGATCGGTAGATCGGGTCGGAGTGCCATCGGAGTGCCTGGATGCCCCTCAACGATGCCCAGTTCTTGGCGCCGCTTGGCTGGTTCTCACACCTCGCCAATCGAAAAGGCACTTTCTCTTCGCAGAACTCGAATGCACAGTACCGGCTGATACCTGATGCCGTGCCATGCCGACGTACGAGGCTGGTGAAATCCCTGGCACAAGAGCTGCCCTCAGCCTTTCCATCACGCTGCCGTTTGGCGATCGAAGAGCTCTCCGAGAAGGGCACTGTGACTAGACTTGAACTTCGAAATTCCAGTGCCGTTATGCTGGAAGTTCGGCTGGCGAGTCCAGAACGAAACATTCCGAGTCTCCACTTCGAAGTGACGAACTCTGTGGAAACACATGAGCCCCCTAACAGTCCTGACATGCCAGACATAATGCGAAGAAGATTGGACAGCCAAGGAGAGGCTGCATGGATCCTTAAACCGTTTTGCAGTCTAGCCAGTTGTATCAATGTATCTCTATGTCTCTCTCTGTCTATCCATCATCAGCGTCATCATCAGCAGTGAGAAGCGGGCCACAAGAGAAAATGTATCTTTGAAGAGCCCAGGAGAGAGGGAAAGACCTACCTCCAGATCTCTGCAAAGCAGTCTTGACCTTCGTCTGCTCGGTGGCATCTCCGCGTGTCGCTGCCCAGCCGAAGCTCGGAAGAAGAGGTTTCTAAAGCATAAGCCGCCTCGGAATGTCGCTGTGCCGTATGATGCCTGAAACATGGAAGAGCGCAGTTCAGGGAGCTGCAGTTCCCCTGTTTGGAGCTCTTGGGACGAGCAGGCAGCGCTGCAGAGCAATGTCAGCAGGTACAGCGTGTTCTTTCCTTCGCTTGCGTGCTCAGCACATCAGCCAATGAGTAGTCCCGACAGCAGGTGTCCAGCTGAGCAGATTTTAGCCAAGCCCCTGCCATCCGAAGCCGCTGCCAAATCTGTTGTGGCCCTTTGGCCGTTGAGTGATTTTGGACCAGGCCTGGCAGTGCGAGCCTACGAGGAGGATGCCAGCAAAGCAGATGTGCAGGCATTTTTCTTCAAGCTGCTCAAGAAGGAGGCTGGCACAAAAGGAGATCGACGCCCAAACAGCGCTGCCGCCCAGTACAGCCACGTAGATCCGCAAGTCCAAGAGGCAAGAGGCAGGCAGGCTGAATTCTTCAGCGTAGAGAAGAACTGCTGGGATGGTTACGCATTCCGCGAGGCGAAAACCCAGCCGGCCTTCAAGCCGAGGGTAATGGCCCGATGCCCGGTTCTATGCCCTTCCGCGAGAAGGTGAGACATGCAGTGCAGCAGTTTGTTTACGTTTGTTCTGTCGGCCAGTTGACATGACTGTGGACCCGGAACGCAGCACAGCACTCAAAGTAATTTAAAATGTCCGCCCAGGTTTTCCTGCTGCAGTACCTTCTACGATGGCTACAGTCCAGCAATGCCTTGAAGTGCCTTTCGAAAGAAGGCGCCTTCAAGCCCGAGGCGGGGGGAAAGTAGACCGACTGGAACGTACAACTCAGTTCCAGGCCAGTTGCGGACACCGCACACTTGCAAGCCTGCTGGAATCACCATTCGCTATGAGGAGGGCTGCAGGCTGCTAGCTTGAAGGGTTTCAGTGGTATGCCACCAAACTATGATGTCACCCAGCATCCGCCCAGTTTGGGCATCTATGTGAAGAAGGCTCAGAAACCGCGCCGTCTCGGAGACTTCGTACCGAAATTCCCTCAAGAGTGGAGCAACGTGGAACAGGTGATCACCTCACTGCTGGAGGCTTTGGCCTCGGAGATGGGCAAATGCCTCCGATGGCAGCAGAAGTGGCAGCTCAAGGTTCCGCGGATCAGGGCTCGTACGTCCAAGCAGGGCGGGGGCAGGGGTGGTTAGGACTATTAAGGTTGACATTTAAGCTTGCAAGAGTCCTGGATGCAGAAAAGGTTGACATTTAGCTATGTTTAGGGTATCATGAAGAAGATGACGATTGACTCCAATGCTGCTCCAGTCACGTTTTGGTTCTAGACTTCCTGCTCTCAGTTGACGCAGAGTTGCGGATTCACTTCGGTCTTAGATGCCTGTGGTTTAAATGCCCCCAAACAATGCTTCGCTACAGTGCACCAGCAACCCGTTCAGCCTGAAGATGGGGTCGCTGTGTTGTAGCTGCATTGATCTGTGCAGGCGACTCGAGCTTTGCGAAAAGTCCTGGCAACAACTCGCGAGGCCTGAGCAAATCCTGCTGTGTTTTCAGTGAAGACCAGGACTCGGAGCGTCAGAGTGGCAACAGTGCATAGCAGGTTGCAATGCCTTGGGCGCTGGCCTTCCTCAAGAAGTCTGAGGACAGCTCGAAACCTCGCTGAGTTTGCACACTCCGAGCCTACAGCGAGGATGGACAAGGGAAGGCTCCAAGCCAAAAGCTCCCAGGACCCTCCCGCGCTGCTGGTCGCCGCTGTCACCACCAGTGAAGGCGTCGATCGTGCTGCTTTGGTCGAGCTCTACACCAAGCATGCCCTCCGCTGGCGGCATTAGACGGATGCAAGCTCCACTCCTTGTGCTGTTCAGGCTTCAACCTGGGGGGGTAAGGCTCCTTGAGTTTTCGTTGCCGTCGTTTGCTGGAGAGTTAATCTGCTTCGAAGGGGCAGGAGGAGAGCATAGGAGAGCAGGGTACGGACCTGACAAGTGCCACTTTTTGGTGACGCGCGCGAAAGCTGAATCAGCCGCCTCTAGGTCCTGGAGGCCAAGAAGCCCTTAGCCGAGTTCAGCCGCCCGCTTGCACAAGATCGAGGGGAGTGATTCTTACTTCGGCGCCACCTGCGGCGTAGTGATCCTTCGGGCGCTCAACGACCTGAGCTTCTTACTGAAAGTTAAAGGGGGTATAGCTGCAGATACTTGATCGTGTACCGCGAGCGGTTGCTTTGGCCAAGTCCTGGCACACAGAGCGAGGCCTCGCCGCATGGGGTCCAGCAGTGACTGCTGCCAGCGCAGAGGACGGCGGGCTGTCGCGTGCGGTGCGTTCAGTCGCTGTGATATCCGGCAGTTGCCCTTGCAGGAGTTCGAAAAGCAGCTGCTGCCGACAGCAATGCGCATGATGCAACCTAGCAGCAGTTTTAACATGGACGAGGACGGAAGAAGCCTTTAAACTTTTGAACATCTTTTGACGATCGTATGTGGGCTGCAGAGTAAGGGAACCCGAGTGTTTGCCGTAATGGGAACGGGATGTCCGTAATGGGAACCCGTAGCTGGAACTGGGACCGATTCCGATCCCGCAACAGCAATCACCAGTTCCTGTAAGACCAAACAGGCCGCCACTCGTAACAGGAACCAGTGCGGGGCTCCGAGAATAACTTGTTTCACACACCTGCTCTTGTGGGCTCGCCAACTCAGGGACCTCTTTCCGGCCCCCACTTATACGGCTTCAATATGTCATGTGATTTACCAGTAGCACTAGAAACTGACCTCGTATGTTCCATGGCTACAGCATGGGTGTTGCCATTAACGCACCAGAATAACACTGCATGTGTCTGATGCGAGCGAAGCTGCAAATTTCGTGACTTGTGTGCACGATCGTCTGACGAAGGCTCCTGCGTGTAGTCTCGTCACTTCTTTCTTCGTCCTACATCTGGTGCTAAGAGCTGACCGAATCCCCAAACCCCCAAAGCCGTTCTCGACTGGCAAATGCCTGAACCTTGAGTCCCTTGAGCCTGACCCGTCAACCCTAAGCCCAAGAACCCCTAGACTCCTAGACCTCCTAAATACCTTTACAGCCGCAGAGCCCTAAAACCCGAAAGCTTAAACTCGCCTCCCAGAAAAGAAGCCAAGCTGGCGCTGGTGTGCAAAGCCTAGCCCCGCCACCAATACTAAGAAGTAGCACTCGTAGTACGACAACTTCGATTTGCGCTAGTGCGAACCTTCTTGTAAGATGAAACTGCCATATTCCTTCGACAAATACAATGTGAAGAAACAGCTGGCTTCAGAGACGAGGAGTGTGTTGCCACTGGCATCCTTTATCCCAAACCGTGAATCTGTTTCAACCCCAAACTCTATATGCGTCGAACGAAGCAAAGGCGTCAGCATAAGGCTTTCATGGTGTCAAAGTAGGGGACTGAAAACCGGTCCCCCACAAGAGTTCCAGCATGGTTTCGGTTGCTTGGCTTTCTTGGGACAGTTCCTGTTACGCTACCGGTGTGGTTCCTGTTTCTACTAGCCCCCAGGTTTCCGTTACTCCCGAAACGGATTCCTGCTACTCACCACGCCCGCCTTACCCTCGCGGCCTGTATCATGCAGTAACGACTGCACAATGAGCCTCCGGCATTGCGGTTTGCAAGCCCCCACGCCTCGTTTCGAACGAGACTGAGACAAGTGTCCGGCGGGCTGTTCATGAGTTCCCCCCATGCCGAAACCCTGCGGAAATCGAACCGGCCAGTGTGCCAAACAAAGCATGTCCGTGGCGAAATGCATGCAAAACCCACACAAACAGCTCTCCGAAAGCGGTCTCTCCATCCCGAAACCTTACAGAAGGAAAGCATTTGTTTTTTTTACTTTTCCGAGAATCATGACGATTGCCATTCTGACTGTGTGCGGGAACCCCTGCTGTTTATTAGGGAGTTCCCGCGCTGCTATTGCCATGCACTCAGCTTGATTGAATTCACAAGAGGAAGAAACCCTCACAGCAAAGACTTAGAGCGATGACTTCTTATGACATGTTGCATTTGCATCGGGAAGATGCTGAGGCAAGGACTTAGCTGTAAGTGACGCAACGGGGTAGGCAACAGCTGAACGACCGCTCACGTTGCTCCATTATGGCGATCCCTCACTCCGATTTGCTTTGTGCCACGTTCGGGGTCGGATGATTTGGCTGGATGTTGTGGGCTCGAGTTAGCATGCGCGGCATTTGTGTCCTACCCAGGAAGCGCCAGCCTGCAGCCAGCGCAACGTCCTTTCCTGCCATGGTGCTCCCCTGTCTTGTCGCGAGTCATTCTACAGTAGCTGGCGTACGTTGCTGTGGTGCCACAAGAGTGAAATGGTCACGTCCACGCTAAAGAATATCGGGCATAGCTAGCTCACCTCATGCGGCAGGTGAGCAGCGCGAAGCTGGATCTTTCGTCTCAGGCCAAGGAGTTGCTGGAGCTCGCGCCGGAAAAGCTGAAAGACAAGGCTCATGCAGACAATAACGATCGCATGATCATGTGATAGTGATGGTGTCATGAACTTGCTAATTGCCCATGCAGATCTAGAAGGACGGCGGCGGTTACTCACAAAAGAAACGGTCTCAGCAACAGTAAGAGTGAATCTAGTAACTTATGCAGTGCATCTTCTTGTTAACCTTGCTCCCGTGATGACGGCGTTGTTGTTGTTGGTGTTGTTGTTG